AGCAACGCTGTAAATAGCTTCTTCACCTGCTTCACAACTCATATAACTCCCACAGCAACAGTAAATTGGTATGAAAACAACAAAGGCTGTAACAGTGTTAATTTTGTCCCGTCATAGCGAGGTAGAAGAAATACATATGCATGCTATGTATTTGCAGCCTTTAAATAGGTTCTTTAAAGAAAGCCTTTGAAATTAATGCTCCTTCAGACGTTCCAGTAGCTACAGTTCGGGAGATTTTATCTTATGAGGATTGAAGTTAGCTGCTAGTGTCAGAATGAAAGCACTGGAACAGAGCGAGCCGTTTGACGCTGGTTTGGGAGCTCAGACGCTCGTCTGCTTAGACTCATGTAGCCGTTCCTGCAAAGCATACTGCCTCTGGGTAATTCAGAGCTGAGTCACAACTGAAACCTCAAAGAGGCTCGTCCTGAGTTTGCCAAGACGCTGGTGGCTCCAGATAAACATTTTCTGACAAGCCGGAGTCACCAGTGCCAGCTTGGCAACTTTTCAGACGCCCCCAACCAAAGCCGTGACAAAAGCAGCTCACGGCAAAACGAGACAAAGTTGAAGAGTGATCTGACTTTAACTCCAACACAAGATACAAGAGATTCTGTTTCACACAAAGTTTTGTTTTTTTCGTTTACCAAAGAAAACTTGTCCTTTGGTTTTGAGACATCAGTTTGTGGTCGGCGGCTCTGCGATGGACCTTTGACCTTTGATATAGCTATTGTGTTGGAGTTTCTTAATTACTCCAGAAATCATTTGTTCTGCTGACTAAAATGTAAATATTTATTTGCTTAATTGAAAAAAATGTGCAAGCTAAGGTGGCAGTTTTCAAAAGAATCACCAAATATTCAAATAAATGATTTCTACCTATTTGTTTCAGCTATAGATATGGTATCATTTTAAGATGAAAGGAAGTCCTCATTGATGTGGCTGTAATAATTAAGATAGAATTTCATAGTGGGCTTTTTAGGGAGCATCATTTCTTATCTGCAGCATCTGCAGAATATAGATGCCAGATTAGGAATCATGTAAATGTGGGTCACAGTATAAAAAGAAGCATTTTAAAGTTATAGTGCCGAGTGGCTAAAAATAAACTTCAAACAATATCACAGATCAGATATCTAAGGAGCTTACACTGTATGTGTACTATATGTGAGTCTCTCACAGGGCTGTGTGTGTGTGTGTGTGTGTGTGTGGTTTAGGAGCAACAGAAAACATGACTAATGTGTGTATATGTAATACTGTAATCCACGGATATTATTAAGTGTATATACACTTACTGGAATCTCTTTAAATGTGCTTTGCTAGTACCTGTTTTGATTTCAGATCTGTGTTCATTCCTCACGGCATAATTTCAACAAAGTGCTGGATAAATTCTTCAGAGATTTTTGTCCATATTCACACGACAGCATCACAGAGTTCCTCATCACAAAGGTGCTCTATTAGATTGGGATCTGGTGATTGTGGAGCCCATTTGGGTTCAGTGAACTGAATGTCCAAAAAAACAGTTTGGAGCTTTGGGCTTTGGGTAAATACGCAGGTAGGCTGTGGCAATTA